CCTCTTGCAGATGGTGGCTAGATCAGGCTGCATTGCTTTGCACTTTGCAGTGTTGCAGGAATAAATAAGATTTCTCTATTCCTGCAGTGTGTCACACCATGAGAAGAGAAGCAGTAATTTTCTGTATAAACCTTCCTGCTCAGGCTGGGCACAGCCCTGCGGTTTCCACAGCTCCTTTTTGAAGTATTTAGGGGATTATTTGCAGCACTAAAACTGGTATATTCCAGTAAACTCCTTGACACTGCTGACCATGAGTTTCACATAAGCATTCTGATCCTCCACTGTCAAACATTTCTATGCATGGAGAAACTCTTCAGCCTGTCTTCTAACTGTATTTTACATGCTAATCTGTATTCTTGGGCCAATTTCCTTAAAATAAGTTTTAAATTCTTCTTCTTCTTCTTCCTCTTATTCCTCTTCTCCCTCTTCTTCCTCTTCCCCTTCTTCCTCTTCCTCCTCTTCCTCCTCTTCCTCCTCTTCCTCCTCCTCTTCTTCCTCTTCTTCCTCTTCTTCCTCTTCTTCCTCCTCCTCCTCCTCCTTCTTCTTCTTCTTCTTATTATTATTACTATTATTATTATCCCTGAATGAGTGATGGAAGTTCTTGGCATGACAAGAGGTTGAGCAAGATGTGATCCTTACCCAGGATGTTAATGATGATGTAATTACAGAAAAACAGGAAAGCAAGTTACCCTGATCCATTGGTTGGAATTTGATATCTCCCAGTGTTGACCTGAAAAAGAAAAAATTCTCTTGGTAGGGATTATTTGTTGTTAAATATCTGATAAATGTCCCCATGGCCATAATTTGTATTAGACTGAAGAGGCAGTGATGTAAGGCTTGTGCATGTGCTGTGCTTAAAAAGAGAAATTATTAAAAGTAATTCCAGAATCCAAGCTGTTTTAATCTTCTCTTTACTATGTTCTCAGAGAAGTGGGATTTTTTTCAAGGTTTCTACCCACACAAAAATAGAAAAGTAGGCTGTGGAACAGGTTGTTTTTAGGACTTTTGTAAAAGGTGTCATGAACTGAACAAATCAAAATTTAGTTCTCATTTTTTGCTGGCAATGAGATGCATCTTGAGGCCACCTTAGGAATTTCAGGTGAGATGAGGTATCTGGAAAGGTACATAAAAAAACATGTCACCAAAAAAATTCATAAGAATTCACTGTGACAGTTGTGCAAAAACAATCTAATGACTAATGCTGTTGCTTTTCAGATAATGTAAGTCTATTTTTGTTCTAACATGTCTCTGTCTCCAGCATCTCTTTTTTGTTTCCCAAGTCCCTGCATACATTTGTATTTTGTGATGTGCTTTTCATGTTGCTGCTGCTGAACTGTCTTTCTCTGTGAAAAGAAATTAGTAAAGCTCAGCCAAAGGGAAGGTGATTGACTGTCCCAGTTGGAAAAAAAGAATTTAAAAATACTTTGTGAGGATAAGCTCATAACATTCTTTGGGAATTGTACTTCTGTAAAAAGCTCTTTGAATTGAATTTCAGCATTAAAATTTATGCACTCGTTTGGTATCATACTTTTTCCTTCAAGAAAGATAAATATTTCAGTCTTTGAACAGTGGGAAAGTGAAAACATTCAGCAGTAGCCCTAGCTGCTGGAATTCCTCAGTAGGCTGCTGAGCAATTCCAGTGATGAATAGTCTGTGTTTGCACTTGGGAAATGCACAGTAATCACTGCAAAAATAAAGCATTGCAGGCAAAGGGATGGATCATTTTATCTGATCCTTTAAAAGGCCATTCAGATGGTTGTTTTGTAATTTGATGGCATTTAAGTAAGTTGAGGGGTTTTCTTTAGTTCAAAAACTGCTTAATGTAAAAAAGTCATTTGTTGTGTGCTTAGCAAAGCATCCATTAAAACTTGAGAGGCTGAAAATCCTCCTGGGGTAGTTTAAATTTCAGAAAAACACTCACAAAAGCAATTACATTTTTAAATGAATAATTTATTTGGGGTGCTTTAGATCAGATTCTTGTTTACAGTTTCTCACCTTCTGCATTTCAGCTTGGTAATTGGTTTGGTCTGTACAGACAGGTTTTTCAGCTCACCTAAATTCCCTGTCTGGAGGGAATCAGGTGTCAGGATGGGATCTGTGCTATCTCCAGATGCTGTCATCCTCCTTACTCCTTCTGAACTCATTTTTTCAAAAAAGAACATCATAGAAACAAACTTAACAATTGAGTCTATTGTATTTTTATTTATTCAAATAATGATAATGCATTTTAAAGAATTTTAACAAGCCATGACAGAACCTGTGGCTTTTCTCATGAGAGTTTTTTCTGAGTTCAGCAATTTGTGGCATCAGGATTTTGATTTGAGTTAGCTACGAAAATTGGTAAAAATATCTCGTTTCTTCATTCCTTTCTCCTCTTACAACATTTAAAATCAATACTTTTTTGTGTCTGGAATTTGTATCAACATGTTTCTTGTGTTAACGTTGTTTTAAATTAATTCAGACTGATTTTCTTCTGTTCATTTACATCAATGTCTCCAAAAAGGGCTGGTTGGTATTTTATATTGCTTTTTCCTTCTTTGTATAAAAAGAGTTTGATTTATTTTCTGGAAGAAGCAGCTTAGAAGTGGTTTTGTGCTGCTCTGCTGAATCTTTGGGATCTGTCTTCCTAATAACTTTTACTAGGACAGTAGGCAGGGTGTGACCCTTCAGGGCATGTGTGTATTTGCATTTCCTTCATGCTGCAGTGATGGATGGACTCCAGCTAGTTCAGGAAAAAGTGCTCAAATATATTCCACTGATGGAGCAATTCTTCAGTGTAAATATCACCTTTAGGCCCAGGATTCTTGAACAGCGAATTGTTTTTCTTTATGTTCTTGACTGACATTTTCAAAACAGAGCCATCAGGCAAAGCTGCCCACATGGGGTGCGCAGCAATTGAGCTGTCTTGAATTCTGCAGTTACTTCTCTAATGGATATCCCACATCCCAGAGCATTTTGCTGGTAATTCCGTGTTTTTTGCTGCTGACTCTGCATGCACTGGTGTCGCAGAAATGAGGCCTTTGTCGGGGAAGAGCCATTTGTCGGTGAGGGGAGACTCAGACACTCAATATGAGTGATAAGCAAATTCCATTTATTGAAGAGAGCATCAGACACTTATACAGCGAGCAATAAGCTTATGAACATTCTGTAAGCCAAGCAATCTATTGGTTAAACTATGCCATGAACTCTTCCTCATTCCTAAGGGGTTACATCTCTCTTTTCTCATGCCTCTTTCACTGTTTGTTATCCTACCACAGCTAGGCCCAAGGACACGCTATCTAGCAGGTGCAGGATTTGGAATTAGCCACAGCTTTGTAATTTTCCATTCTCTAGCAGCTAAATTCCCAACACACCGGGACTGTTGGGTCAAGCAGCTCTTTCTGGATTTGCACACTCCAGGGTAAGGGAAGTCAGTCGGAAATTCTGCAGTGTAAGGCTTCTCTGCACAATGGTAGTTCTACAGCCATGATATTAGTTTTATATATATATCAATATATTATTAGAGTATATTAGATATAGTACATTAGCTATAGATATAGTATATAGTATATTAGAGATATATATATAGATATATATTTAGTGAGAGTATATTAGATATATTTCTTTATATTAGATATATTTCTTTTCCCTTTTATATTAGACATGGGTTCCCCTAGAGGAATATTTATGAGTCTCTTCTTTCTGCCTTTTAGTTAGAGGAACACATCCACCACCTAAGGCAAGATCAGCCTTTGTGTTTATTACAAATATAGATCCTGCTGAACTTCCATGTTCTTCCATGAGCACCTCCTTCTGGAAATCTGGCAGACCCTGAAAAGAACCCCAAAAATCTGGGGGAAATAGTCTTTTTAAAATATCACCAGATTCTCCTTAAAGTCCTTTTAGCTAAATCTGATGCTGCTGTGCACCATGCTGACAATTGCTGGTTAAATTGCCTGGTAAATGGTATTAATCCTAAATATGAGTCTGTGTGAACTGAACACCTACTTTGTAGTTTGGGCAATATTCCTTTAAGCCCTTTAAGTTGCTGGGCATTGCAGATTGTCTGAAAATGAAACCACAAAGCAATTGATTCTTCTGCCTGGGAACACTGCCTTCAGATTTCAGTTCACCTAAAAAATAATAACCCAAGGTGAAAAATAGAAATATGAAGACAAAAATATTTTTGGAGTGGGAAATGTTTTGCTTCAGGATTGCATTTGATGTTGCATATTGGAGACAGATTTTATTTTGATTGCTCCATTTACTCATCTGGAAGATGAAATGATGCAAAGAAGTCCTTTCCTTGTCCAGTGTCTCTCTGGAAGGTGTAAAAGCTGCAACAGCAAAGAAGTTCAGAGCAGAAATTTGGTGCCTGAGTTCTCTTGTCACTGCCACTTGTGCATGTTCTGTAGAAACTGGGTAATGGAACCTAAAAATCTCATTTAAATGTAATTCAATTACAGTGCAAACTGTCTGAATCCTTTTCTGCTTTGAACCTCAACATTTTAGAATAGGTCTAAAATCAGGAAAGATTTGCTGAAGGTTGAAGCATGAAAAAGCTTTTGTGACTCAAGTTAAAAATTTGCTTAAATGTTTAATTTAGTGTCTGATGTATCCCCCAGAGGAAAAAGGTAAATTGCTGAAGGAAGAAAAAATTTAAATTTCTATGGGATAGGTGAATGTCTAGAGGCAACACAGTGTTTGCAGACATGTCAGATTATATGAAAGCTGAGTGTATATATTAGAAAAAAATCTCATTGCTTCTGAGTGTTCCCTTTCCTGCTTGCTTGTATGGTTCCATAGGTAACACTGCTGCTGTGGAGAATACATGTAAGTCATGGATCTTGTTGGAGAATGTCTTTTCTCATTCACTTCCTCAAAAATGCAATTTTTTTTTAAGTTTGCAAGATTTTAACTGCTTTAATAAAAACAAAAAAAAAAAAAAAAAGAAAAACCAACCAAGCAACCAAACCAGCACTAATTACAGTTCCCTGCAGTGATGTGCTTTGCTTTTTCAGTTGCATTTTCAGGCCTTGGCTTCACCACGTTCTACCTGGCTGGAAAGCTGCACTGCTTCACGGAGAGCGGCCGGGGGAAGAGCTGGAGGCTCTGTGCAGCCATCCTGCCCCTCTACTGTGCCATGATGATCGCCCTGTCACGGATGTGCGACTACAAACACCACTGGCAAGGTCAGCCATGCACATGCCCCATTTTCCTGCTCCTTTTTCCTGAGTTAGCCATGGATTTCTGTTGGGATGCGACACGAAATGAGCGACACTCGCGCTTTGAGATGTTTGAGGTAAAAAAGGGGTAGTTTATTTCTGAACTCTGATATTTATAAGTGATTATGGATAGGAGGATGAAATTCCTACTTTTTTAACTACACTGGTCAAACTAACAGTTTATTCATTCTCTTTAATTCTAGAAAGGAATGTAAAAAAATTATTTATATCAAAAGTGCGTGAGAAACTCTATCACAAAAATGTAAACATCAGAAGGTTTAGAAGAACTTTAGAAGAACAGGGTGACATATTTTTTGATTTTTTCTGTTGCAGTACATGGTGAGAGTTAAAGCACCATGCTGTGCTATGCATGCAAGATTTTCCTTGCTCCTGGATTGATGCTGGGGCTTCCTAGCAAGGCTGGATTAGCTAGCACTGACCTTCAGAGCTTCAGGCCTCTGCCACAGCATCCTCTCCTCCCTCACAGCAGGAGTGCAGCACCCATCAGGTCACTGCATCTGTCACTGTTGTCTCAGAGTTCTCCAAAGTTCTGTAACTGATGTGGAAGGTTGTGCTGTTTATCAATTACACACTCATGGGACAATTCAGAAAACCCTGACATCAATTATTTCTTTACCCATTTTTTGACCTTCTTTATGGCCACCTTTGTAGCTTCTTTGCTTTTAGTCATTCTTACGCTGAGTAAACCAGCCTGTAATTTACTTTTTCCCTATTTGCCCCTGTATTCCTATAAGAAATACCATGCATGGTACTCCTGATGCTGTTATGTAGGTCACCTTGGCTTTCTGTGATGCTAGGACTGCACTGCTGGCCTTGCAAATTGAACTCCCCTCAAGGTCCTGAGTGCTCCTGTCAATTACCTGAAATTTCAGTTCCATACTGGTTCCATGCTGTTTCCTGTTTTCCAGCACTGTGGTGGGTTGACCCTGGCTGGACACCAGGTCTGTCATCCCCTCCTCAGCTGGAATGATGAGAGAAAATGCACTGAAAAGTTCATGAGTCGAGATAAGTTGGGGAGAGGTCACTCAGTAGTTGCTGTCAAGGTGCCTGGAACATCTCCTGCCCCTCCTTCCTCCCTGACCTGGATGTCAGCAGGGCTGTTCCTCTCACATCTTCTCACTCCTCTCTCCAGCTGCTATTTCAGTTGTCCAGATTTTTTTTCCCGTTTTTTACATCCATTATCCCAGAGCTGCTCCCACATCCCTGCTGTCCCCAGCCTTGGCCAGTGGCAGACCCATCCTGGAGCTGCCTGGGGCTGGCTCTGCTGCCCATGGAGAAGATTCTCACAGAACCCACCCCTGCAGCTCCCTCTGCTACCAAAACCTGGCCCCAAATCCCAGCACAAAGACACAGCATTCTGTTGGTTCCTCATATGTCGCAGACATTTTTTCATAGAAATCCTTTCTTTCACATTTGTCCATCTTCTGGGAAGCAGAGCCCCAGAAGAAGAATGTAAACAATTGTTATCAGCTGCTGTGAAATGTAGCAGGTGTCCCTGTGATTGGCTCATCTTCCTTGTGTACCATTAAAGGCCAATCACAGGAGCAGCTCAGGGACAGATTCCCTGGACACAGAACTTTGTTATTCATTCTTTCTATTCTATTCTTAGCTGAGAAGCTCTCTGCAACTTCTCTTCTTATTCTTTTTAGTATAGTTATAATGTATTATATATCATATATAAATAAATCAAGCCTTCTGATCAAGAAACAAGATTCTCGTCCTTCTCTCACCACAGTGACCGTCTAAGGCCACTGTAATACTCATATAATTTCAATTAATTTCTGCATTGCTCTCTCCTTCCAAGCACCTTCTCATCTCACCCAGCGCCAGAACCAAACTCAGCCACGCTTTCCCTCACCCTGCTGTGCTCCTGCAGCTGCTTCATCACCAGCCATTAGCCTTGACACGTTCTCTGAGGAGCCTCCTGGATTCCAGCAGAGCCTTGTCACGTTTCAGGACCCATTTCTCCTTTTCTCAGTCACCCTGGGGCTGGGGAGAGGCTCCAGCACAAACCTGCTGAGCACGAGGTGCTGCCTTGCCAGGCTGGCAGGAGGCACACGAAACACTTGGCCTGAGATCCCTGTTAGAGAGAAAAGGAGGAGTGGGAGGAAGTGTGGAGGGTACAGGTTTGGAAGAGGTGTTTGCAGTGTGAACTGTGCCTTGCCAGAATCATTGATGGGCTGGAAGGTGAGCAGGTGATGGTGATGTGCTCTGTGCATGGTGGAGGAACACTGCACCCAGGGTTGGGACTCAGCTCATCACAGCTGCTCCTATTCTGCCTTTGAATTTTAAGGAGATGGAGCTGCAGACTTGTGAGAATAAATTACACAGGACTCCATTTTCTTCATGGTTCAGAAAGGCCCATTCTGTATCCACATAATTCATTTTTACACAGATTTACAGACTTTGTGTGGGACTCTAATCGGTTAGGAGTGTTCTTGCCAATTACCTTTATTGGTTAGTAACATGTTGTTATTCTGTATTGATTGGTCACTCAAACTCTCAGTGTCTACATGCTGAGAAGTTGGTTGTGAAAGATAATTTTCATTTTTCTGTGTAACAGTGTAAAAACTGTTTATGCAGGTGCAAGTTATCTGAGAATTGCACCTAACACAGGTTTATAGAAAATAAATCTTGTCACAATAACTAAGTTTTTTACAAGTTGATTCATGCTGTACAGTGAACATTCTTGCCCTCAGTACCTTTAATACCATTATAGTTTGGTAGAGCCAGGCTGATTAAATCAGTCAGCTTCTAGTGTGGGTAGGATAAGTTACTGTCTGCCCACAATCACCTTTAAATTCCTGTTTGAGCCCCTGTTTCATTAATTTTTGATAGATTCATTTTGTCCTTTTGTGTGGAGGAAGAGAACATAGGATTAGAAGGCATCTCCTGGGTCATTCCATGTAGTCCTGTTCCTCAAATGTGACTTACAGTCACATTTCTTAAATTTATCCGCCTCTCTATTAAATTTTTCAGGTTTTCTTGCTCCAGCCATTCCTGATAAAAGGCATCTCTCTTCTCTAATGATTACAAACCATCTATTATGCATTGAAAATTGAACTACATAGCCTTTGTTCTGATAAAAATCACAATGCCAAACCAGGATAGTTAATCTGTATTTAAGGACTTTAGACAAAAATAATTTGTATTGATTTATCCTTCTTTGCCAGTAAACTAAATGATTCACCATTTTAATTACACTTTGGGTTCTTTGAAATTAAAAGAATGGAAACACAGGTACACACAGATGATGTGGGGCTGAATCAGTCTTGTTAAAATAAAATGTGTTGTCAGGTCATTTTAACCAGTTCCTTTTGCCTCACTTCATTATTCTTCATGTTAAATCAGAGGCTTTCACAGAGTGTGTATGTCCACTGAAATTTTTCTCTTGTTGATTGTAAATGAAACACAAGATGAGGTGAGTATTTTAGTGAGGTGAGTATTTTCTGGTTATTTTAATAACCAGAAACAGAAGGAATCCTCTATAGAAAATTTTAAATTGCCTCAGTGTGAGAGCTGCAAATATCCAATAGCATTACTCACCTTACTTTATTTTCTGATAGGAATATGGGATAGTAAAAAACATCAAAGATATTCAAGAGGTGTTAAATCAGTTAACAGGCATGGTTAATCTTTGACCTTTCAGAGGCTTTTGGTAAGAATTCATCTAGCTTGAGATTGTTCTTGGCTGCTTTTTTAACTGGGTGAAGATCCATGGGCTGCCCACCCACAAGTGGTCAGCTGTGGTCTGGTACATCAGGAATGTTGGACACCTCATGGAGGCCATTCTACTCCCAGTGTTCTTCTCCCAAAACTGAGCCAACCCTCTACACTTTGGGTGTTCAAAATAATTGCACAAGTCCCCAAGGATGGATTTTATGTGTCCAGTGTGGTGTTTTGTTCCAAATTCTTTAGAAAAATTCAAAATCCACAGTTTCTGTGTTAAACACTTTCACATCCACCAAATGTCTTTTATTTGAGTTTTCACTCCTGTCTGCCCTTCCTCTTGTAATGTGCTTCTGGTTTTGTTGCTTTTTCCTGCAGATGCTTTCGTTGGAGGGGTGATTGGCCTCATTTTTGCTTATATTTGCTACAGACAGCACTACCCTCCTTTGGGCAATACAGCCTGTCACAAGTCTTATGTCAGCCTGCTGGATCAGAACTCAGTGAAGAAAGAGGAGAGACCCACAGCAGACAATGCCACTGGGCTGCCTCTGGAGGGAATCACTGAAGGTCCCGTATGACTTTGAGAAATGTGCAGAATGAACTTTTAGCCTTCTCACATTTCCTCCAAACTGGTCTCTTAACAGTGGTTCTTAATGTACATTTTTTCCTTTGGTTTCGTTCCTTTTTATAAAGGGAATTTAAATATTTTATTTTTAATGCCATGGCACCATCATAGTTTTAAAGCTAAATTTTTAGTTCTTACTGACTTGCTGAATTATCTGTTTTCAGTCTACTGCAAGCAGGTAGAACTACTCAGAGGAAGGGGAAAGCACATTATTTAAAAGAATCTCATGTGGAGAATGGTTAAGAGAGTAATTTTGAGATCTGGTTGAGCATATACTAGATCTGGAAACAGATTTTCTGAAGTACTGAGCATCTTCTACAAAGTTCTGGTCATCTTCAGCACTCATTGATTTCGATGGGTGGCGAGTACACAGAGCACTTTTCATCAGGTGTTCAACATCTGTAATTTGATAATTTAGGGCGTCATCCTTACGTTTATCTTGCTGCCTTCTGACATTAACAAAAATCTCCACGTGCTGGTGGAACTTTGTATTAATTGTCAAGTTTTGCCAAGGTCTTCTGAGCTACTAATGACCAAGAAATTGAAAGGTGTGGCTGGTGAGGTGCTTGTGAGAGCCAAGCCTGGTGCATTAGTAGTTCCACAGGATGATTCTCACCTTCAAGAAACTCCATACTGTTAAAATTACCAACTAAGAACGACATACAGGATGGATTAGAAACTTGGTATTGACCATCTGCAATTTTTGAGAACTCTTGCAGTGTTTACCATCAAAACAAATTTGAAAGAAAAGAACACCCATTGCATTTAACGAGCTGAAGTCTTTCAAACAGGTGTTTTAAACCCCCTAAAGCTGGGAGGACAAAGAAACACAAAGTTTTCTGTGGATCTCGTTGTGCCATGTTCATTCTTGTGTAGTGACTCACTGCAGCATTGGTGACCTGAGGAAATGCAAAGATTCTCATTTGTGACTTTGGGTGCACAACCACAAATGCCTGTGGTGGTTTCCAGCACTGTAACATTCCCAGAGGAAGGCTGGAGACAGTTTTCCACCAATCCCATCCCACATTTTCAGCCCACCATGCTCTTGGGCATGGTGCTTGCCAAGGTTGGTACCTGAATTGGGACTCACCTGAATCAAACCACTGTTGGTATGGGGAAGTTTAACAATTGTGTGGCTGAAGTTAATTTATTATCGGTAGGATTCTGTTTGTTAGGAATGCACTATGCAGTATACATCCCGTTCCTGTGAGATGATGTACCTTTGGATGGCAGAATGTCAGATTCCAGGTTTTTTCTCCATAGGTATCCTGTGAAAAATGCAGGCAAAATATTCCAGACCACACCCTGGCATTTGAACATTTCTTGGAGCAATCAAGATAATGTTGATCAACGACCACAATTACGGTGCTTCAGACTGGAGGAGACTGCTGCCATGATTATAATTTCTGTGTTCCTGTTGGAATATGCATCAGCCTCGTAGACATTTTGTGATTCAAACAGCTCAATGTCTTTATGTAAGGCTTGCCATTTATTTTCCTCAAAGCAAAGCTTTGTAGATTTTTTTTTTTTTTGAGAAGAGCTGCTTCCTGATTGGCAACACTTGAATTTTTATAAAAAGCAAGTAAATTAGGGTCCCCTTAAAAATAAACCTAATAACTGTGTACAAGAGGATGCAACCTTGCTGTGTATAAATGTAGATGGTATTTGGAAATGGCTATAAATAGGAAGTGACATTAAGGAACAGAAGGTAACAGGAGTGAACCCGAGAGGTTCTGTAGAAATCAGAAAAAAGCAAAGCTGGTACAGTTTAACTGAGCCAGAGGGAGGATGCTTCACTTACAGAATTCTGAGCTCTACAGCAGAGACAGTTGAATTTAGCTGTGGTTTTCCTGGTGAATATACAGTAATTCACAATACCAGCATCAGCAAAGCAAAATTACTTGTTACTTGCACTGGATTTGACAGAACATTCCTCTGGTGTGGTTGAGACCTTATTCTAGAAATCCACAGAGTTCAATGGAGGTTTAATCTTCCTATGAAGTTTTTAAACCATCCTACAGAATTCTGTAACAAATATAGTTTTCTATTACTTCATGTGAGAGGATTATTGAGAGCCCCAGAGCCAGGGTGAGGCTTAGCCATCAGCTCTTTCTTTCAGCAGGAACCCTAGTCTTCCAGGTTATATGCAAATGTTAAAAAAAGAATAAATCTTCAATCAAAATTAGAAGTTTAATACTGATGCATAGAGCATTTTGCATGTTTTTATATAGATCTGGCTTATTCTCAAAATGGAGTGGGGCCTTCTAACTGTGCTGTACACATTCTCAGTATTTTAATGGCTTTTAGTGCAGGCAGGCTGTTCTTGGGAGAAGGAAAATCTCTTCCAGCCCTCAAGTGAGTAGTGGCTGCTAAAGGATTGGAACATGAAGTGTAATACAGCATAAAACCTGAAATTGCAGGAGTAATTGGTGATCTCAGAAAAGCAGTAAAGAATAACACATTTTAATGGGAATAATTCAATTGAGAGTCATAAAGGAGACAATGTAAAAGGTTTGATTAAAATGTAATTAAAATTATGAAAGACTTAATGGAATGAAACTTGTGGAGGGATCTGTAGGTGCCACAATCAGCAGTGCAAAGTCAGCGTAGGGAAGGCATTTTTGTGGATCAATGTATTTTACTCTCATGCTTTCTCAATGTGAAGGAAATGTAATGTTGTAATGCACCAATAAAACAACACATGAATGTGGGTTTGTACATCTGTGTGTTATCATTTTTTTTGAGAAGAATATAATTTAGCAAGTTATTGTCATTAATAACCCATGTAGAGCATCACACACAAAAAAAAGCCCTAAAGAAACAATGTTACTGATAAAAAGTCATTACTGATGATGTTAAAATGGAACAGCCTCCCTCCTTTCACCAAAGTAATGTTATTCAGCTTTCCTCCAGGCAAAGGTACAGTGTAAGACTGCAAGGTTGAAATTCTGCAATTGTTACCCAGCTAAACCCAACAGATCCCATCCCCTGGTCCCATTCCATATCCCAAATAACCCTGCAAGTGCCATATTTAATAACAAACGTGGTTAGGCTAGAACAGGAGGACAGCATCAAATCAAGCACAGCAGGGATATCCTGAAACCATGAGGCTGGCAACCAGCAAAATGTCCCCAAAGTGACTGCAAATCTCAGGCTCTGCCTTAGGAATAGAGCATTTCTGCTGATTCGTTCAGATTTTGTTGCTTTTTCTAATTTGTCCCTCTGGTTTTTTTCCCTGTGTGTAGAAAAATATTATTTTTATTTCATGTGAAAACAGAACCTCATTTTCCTTCTTTCCATCCATGGCCAAAAGTACTTTGCTGTGGATTGGGGTGAAAAAAAAACCCCAAACCTAAGAAAAAGCCATATTTTTGTTTTGTGGTACTAAAATTCTAATGACTTTGGGAGAACTGTTATGGATCACTGAATAGATCCCATCCTGGAGCTGGAATAAAGCCTTTACACGGGTTTTTTGTCTTAAAATTGCTAAGCAAGGTCATGTTGTTGGACAGTCAGGAGTAGCACCCACAGGCATTATCTGAAATCAAATTTCTTATTACTCTTACTCATCTTTACAAGATAAATTGTCTCACCTGCTATCCCAGAGTACACTCCACACTCATCTGATTAGCAGAATGCCTACATTGCTGTCCTAAGGGGCTACAATTAAATTAGAAGTTTCCACTGGGATGCAGCCAGTTTAATTCAGTTTATTTTACAGAGAGCTCCTGTTCTACAGGTGTGCAAATTACTCCCTGCTCAAGAACTTGGTCTGAACAGAGAAAAAACATTGTCATTTTGCCATTAAATTAAAATTTGCTCATATATACATATATATAAAACACATAACAGATATAAAATCAAAATGACAAGACTGGATAGGTAACTCCAAATGCACTGAATTAAATGAGATTCTTTTTGCAGATGCTACAGGATTTTTGTTGAAACTTGTAGAAATAACAAAATATATAAAATCAAAATGACAAGACTGGATAGGTAACTCCAAATGCAATGAATTAACTGAGATTCTTTTTGCAGATGCTACAGGATTTTTGTTGAAACTTGTAGAAATAACAACAAAAAAAGGAAAAAGCATTCAAACTGGTCCAAACTTTGAACCCAGATAACTGTAATAAAAACATCTGAGCTGCAACAGATATATGCTGAACTTACAGAAGTGAAGATCTGCCCATGATTATTTTATGAAAAGAATAAAAACCTTTCCAAAGGGAAAAGCAAGAGGCATTTGGGATAACCCACATTACATAATCTGAGTAGTAAGGTAGGAATGGGGTGTGAAATAGAAAATCCTCCCTCAGTGCTTTGGCTGGGTGAAAATAGCAGAGATGAATTCAGCCAGTTCAGGAGGACTGCAGAAAGTCAAGCATGAAACACAACTGAAGCAGCTCCAGAAACCTTGAACCTTTGGGCTGAGTCTCTCTGTTAGTTTGCCAAAAAAGCTCTTAATTTCACTGGCAGATTTGCAGCAGCCCTGCATTATTGCACTAGATTTTTAACGTGGTCTGAAACAAGTTTATTCCTAGGAGTAGATGGGGCACAAGGACACTCTGTTTTTTATAACAGTGATTATCTCTGGCTTGCTTTTATTTGGCCTCTTGTTCACTGATGTAATTGTGCTTTTTCATTCCAACCCACAGCACTGTGCCCTCTGAGCTCCTTTGGGTCCCTGGCTCTTTCCATCTGCAGAGCAGCTTCTCTCCTGGTGATGAGAAGGAGAAGAGAATTGATGGTGACATGTACACACCTTCTGGATGGTGTCTGTCTGCCTTCCTTTTCATCTTAATTAGATTTCCAAGTCTAATTAATGCACTTATATATAAGCAACATTCACCCAGAGGACAGAGTGCAGCTCCGAAAAGGACAAGATGTCATTGCAGAATTGCACAACTGAATCCAGACAAGCTCCAGCCAGAGAGTTCAGTTTGACATTGCCCAAAACACAGAATTTCTCACTTTTTAAGCCAAAGGGCATTTAAAGAATTTTAAGGCTTTTACAGCTCCTAGTTGTGTTTTTTTTGGGTCCCCCATCATGGGGAGGAAATGATGAATCTGACTCCATGTTCTTAGAAGGCTAATTTATTATTTTATGATATTATATTATATTAAAGAATACTATATTAAACTATACTAAAGAATAGAGAAAGGATACTTACAGAAGGCTAAAAAGATAAAAATTAAAAACTGGTGACCCTCTCCAGAGTCCTGACACAGCTGGACCATGATTGGTCATTAAGTTAAAACAATTCACATGAAACAATCACCTGAGGCTAAACAATCTCCAAACACATTCCAAAGCAGCAAAACACATTAGAAGCAAATGAGATAATATTGTTTTCCTTTTTCTCTGAGGCTTCTCAGCTTCCCAGGAGAAGAATCCTGGGCAAGGGGATTTTTCCACAAAATANTATTATATTATATTATATTATATTATATTATATTATATTATATTATATTATATTATATTATATTATATTATATTATATTATATTATATTATATTATACTATATTAAACTATACTAAAGAATAGAGAAAGGATACTTACAGAAGGCTAAAAAGATAAAAATTAAAAACTGGTGACCGTCTCTAGAGTCCTGACACAGCTGGACCATGATTGGTCATTAAGTTAAAACAATTCACATGAAACAATCACCTGAGGATAAACAATCTCCAAACACATTCCAAAGCAGCAAAACACAGGAGAAGCAAATGAGATAATATTGTTTTCCTTTTTCTCTGAGGCTTCTCAGCTTCCCAGGAGAAGAATCCTGGGCAAGGGGATTTTTCCACAAAATATGACAGTGACACTTAGTGTTGCAGTGAGAAAGGGCAGTCGGTAAAGGGAAGTTTCCAAATGCACTTTCACTCCTGAATTCAAGTGAATTCTCCCCCTGATTCACAGCTGGAGCAAAAGCAGATTTCTGTTTTTCCCATTTCTCAGGTTGTAGGCAGAGCACACTCACACCTGATCTGGGAGGGCCTGGTGAGTGCCTGTCACCCTTCTGGTTTGGAGAGAACAACTCAAAACGTCCTGGTTGGCATCACTCTCAGTGACCTTCTGACACCATTCAGACTGAGAGAGAAGAGCTGCTAATTAAGGTCCAAGCCCATCACATAATTGCTGGAAGAGATCTCAGCCGGGGAAGTTTGATTTATTAGTTCCAACAGGCTTGCCCAGTGCCCCTTGCTGGACACACAGAGCAGGGGGCTCTGAAGGCTCCCAAGAGGCAGATTATCGTCAAAAATCTCCTTGAGCTTTTTATTAATTGTTTTTGTGTCTGTCAGTGTTATTGAGGGTGATATTTACAAATCATTTATTGCTACTCAACAGACTGTTGAAAAACATCTCCTTTACCAGGCAGGCTGAATACACAATTTTGTTGTGTTAGTCTATATTCTGTTCACATCAGCCCTTATCAGCATTACAGAGCATTTGTGCATAGAAAAACCCATTTCATCTTCATTCCCAGCCCAACAGGTTGAAGCCACAATGAAAGTTTCAGATGTGGGCTCCTGCTGAAACCAATATAACACAGCAAAAAAGGAAGGGGAAAAGAATATTACAGCAATGTCACAGTGTCACTGTAATCTAAGAGGTGTAAAACTTGTTCATGGAGTGAATGTGATGGGATTCATATCTGCAGCATTGTTCAACAAAGATAAAGCAGCTTAAACATCCTCTATCACTGAGTGTGGAAAAGACTGGAGCTGGCTTCCTCAAACAAATCATTGCTCAGGGGAAAGGGGGAGAGATCCTATTTCTGAGGCTTGTTTGGGAAACAGGAGTTCCATTTCATAAAGGTTGGGAAATGTTTTTAATTTCTTTTGTTAATAGAACTCATAAGTTTAAGAATATGCTGATGGAAAAAAACCTAATCTCTTGTTACATCTCAGCGTATAAAAACTTTTACCAGCCTGTGGGAGAATGATTGCCAGGTACAATTTTGCATCCACCCTTGCTCTTTTAAAGCTTCCAACCTTCTCATGTGAAGAAATGCCCAAAGAAACAGGGTTATTATTGAGTGGGTGAATTGCTCCTTCCTTAATTCCATTCTGGTCTGAATGACCTCCCTTGGAACTTCAGTGCAACACCTCTGCTTCTGTGAATTATCCTGATGGGAAATAGTTCCATTTTGATTTTTGACCAGTTTATTTTCAGCATCAGCTGGAGTCTCCTCGTTTTAAACACTGAAAGGAAACTCCTGTGCTACTGATCCCAAAAGGGGTGAGCTCAGCTGATCTAATTTCAGGCTAATGGAGAACAAGGATTATCACACAAAAACCCAGCCCCTGCAGCCACGTTTTGGGTGAGCGCTGGTAGGGGAGGCGCAGAGAGCTTGTGGATGGTGCAGGAAGAGATGCTACAGCAGGAACTCATTATCAGTAAGTGGATTTACATTTTCCATGAAGTGATGAAAGCAGCCTCTGCTGTGTTTGGGATTTCCCAAAGTAAATGGCAATAAATTAGTTGTGAGTGCATTCCAGCTGGGAATGTTTGAAGTTTAAGTACTACAAGATTTACTGTGGAGCAGCTTCTGTGCTATGGCTAAAGGGGGGAGCAGAAATATTGACCTTGTTTCTGTATGGCCCTTATTTTAACAGAGGTTTCTGCAGCAGGTAATAATGCAGAATTATCACCTAAGAAACTTTTTCAACTCTTTTTTTTTTCTTCAAACCAGTGCTTGTGGTCTCCTATCTG